TTTGGGCATGTTGCAAGGAGGGACAGGTCCTTGGAGAGGGATGACATGCTTGGGAGGGTGGAGGGACGGCGCAAGAGGGGACGGCCCTCTATGAGGTGGATTGATTCAGTGACTGGAGTAATCAGGATGGGTGTGTCAGAGGCACTGTGATTGGCACAGGATAGAGCAGGACAGCACATAACAACTTAAACAAAAGTGTTCAACAAAATTGTTAAGATGTCTTTCTTTGGAAAACACCAAGAACTGAAAGCTCATCTGTTCTCAGGGCTCCCTTCTCCACCTTCTCACCTTAACAGCATCCAATGACCCCAGGATTCCTGAAGTTTCTGAGCTCATTAGACAAACAATGAGACCAAGACTCCATTCCACCAGTGGTGGTTAGACTGGCAAAAGATCTGTCATCCAGCCTCACCCACCCCTAGGTCTCAACAACTCTGCTGTGTGCAGTTTCCCTCCAGTTCCAGAAATGTAATTTAAATGTAACCAGTAATGAAATATGGGCTGGAGCAATCCCATTCTAAAACAATATGTAGTGGTAAAACTTGCAGAACTTATCACAATATACAATTTCTTCTTACTTTCTCCCCAAATAAACCACACGATTAAATTAAAAGAGGGGGAAACTCTTCTATCTAATTATACAGTAATGACTCCCAACCCATAATTAAAGCATTACTAACAGCTTAAAGCTACAGTCAACCATGAGTACATGTGCTGCTGTTATTAGGCTCCAAAGCAATTTCAATTCACAGTAACTCCAAATGACAAAATCAAACTGCCCCATGAGGTTTTCTAGGCCATACTCTTTACGGAAGCTGACTGTCCCACAGCTGCTAAGTGAATCTGAAAGTCCAACTTTTCAGTCAAGAGCTTAATGCTTAACTACTGAGCTACTAGGGCTGTGCACATTTATTATAATTTCTGAGCACCAAGTAATTAAATCATTAGAATAAGGCATCATCTTGAGTAATGTCTATCCTTTTCTCTTTATCCTAGCTCTGGTAAAAAAGCATCCACAAAGGTCCTACGTACCCTACATAATCAAGAAAAAAGGAAGAGCAAACCTCAGGGCCAGTGTAAGTAGAAGAGTGAACTTAAGCAGGGTAGGTCCCCGAGGCCTGTGGTCCTCTGGTTGTCCAGAACAGCTAAGAAGTGGGAAATACATGGTGAGTCTGCCATCTAGAATGCCACCTCTAGGCTAAGGGCTATGACGGCATATAAGACACAACCCAGAAGAAATTAAGGAGACGATGCTGTTTTAGGGAGAAGTAGGATGGGATCACAGAATAAGCAAAACCACTTCTGTAACAAAGTTTCTGAATATGGTGAGATATGAAATTTCTCTCTCTGAACCTCAGCTTCCTTGACAAAAGCAAGGTAAATATCAGATGCTATCTAAGACATCTCCTAGAAATCTCTGGGTGGTGAAAGTTAACATTAAAAGGTTATTAGTTCAAATCCATCCAAGGGAATGGCAACTCAGTTTCAAAAAATTAAGCACTGAAAACACTTACTGAGCAAAGTTCTATGCTAACATGCACAGGATCACCAAAAATCAACAGAAGGCCAACTATCCCTTGGCTTTGCTTTTACTGACATAGAGTTAGGTACTGACCCACAGCGGATCCTCCATTGGGTTCCTAAAGCTGTAAATAACAGAGGAAGAGACTGTCTTTCTCTCATGGCAACCCAGGTGCATTTGAACCACCATAGGCTAGGTCTCTGTGTTTCTAACACAAATCCTGACTGACTAGGCCACCAAAACTCCCATTGTTGTTAAGTGCTTTCAAGCAGACCATAACTAATAGCAGCCACCCAATGAACACTAATTAACTCTGAACCCTGACCTATCCTGAGTCAATCTCACTGTCTGAGACATCTGTCCCTATCACCCAAGCCACTGTGTCAATCCATCTCATCCAGGGTCTTTCTTTCCTACATTGACCCACCATCCTTCCAATCATAAATAATGTCCTTCTCTAAGGATTAGTCCTTCCTGGCAACATGCTCTAAGTTTTGTGAGACAGAGTTTCATAATTCTTGCCTCCAGAGAGCAATTTGGTTTCACCCTCTCCAGACCTGTTCTCTTAGCAGTCCATGGTATCTTCAATATTCTATAACACGGATACTGAACTCCCATTAGATAAAGAATTTAAAAAAAGGAAAAAGCCCCCATTACCATCAGGTTAATTCTGACACACGGCCAACTTGTTAAGACAAAGGAGAACTGCCCTGTAGTTTCCCAGGCTGTACATCTTCAAAGAAATAGCTCACTTCTTTCTCCCACAGAGTGGCTGATGAGTTCAAACTGGACTTTTCAGTTAGCAGCTAAGCAATTTAACTACTATGCTATAAGACTCCATAGTGAATACAAGATAATACACAATTAAGTGCTAAATGGGTCTACAACTGCCACTGGAAGACTTCATTAATTTTTCCTAATCAGCCACTCCTCCCAAACTATCTCCTAGAGCCTAATCAGACACTGTGCTAGCACGTGGGGCTACAGAAGAGAAGTAGGTACAACTGTCTGACTCTAAGGGGCTTACATCCTAGCAGTGACGTATTATCAGGGGTTCAAAGGAAAACACGAGGGGCAGGATTCTCCTAGGACCTTTTCAGAGAGATGGAAGTAAACTTGGGTTCTAGTAAACGTACATGGAAGGGGGGGGGCGGGTTATGAAGGGTGGAGTCACGGGAAAGAACCATGATCAATTTAAGATTGTTACCATAAATCAGGAGCCTTGTAACAGATGCATTAACGCAAGCAGAGCCTGCTAATTTCTGATCATTAGTGAAGACAATTAGGTAGTTTCCAGAATTAGCCAGACTTTGTTTTCCTCCTGTCCAATGGCAACTTTCTTCTTTTTCACACCTGAGGAGTCCGCTCCACAAACCTACTACCACCATTTGTAGTTCTTTTTCTTTTGTCCTCTAAATCCTAATTATAGACAGTGCTGGCAAAAGGCAGGGGCTGAGCTGCAGTTACGAAGTGAGAGAATCCACACCTAAATCACGGGAGACTTTACAAAGGTCTTGCATGTTATTAAGAATCAGCTAAAAACCTATCTGCACATAAATTATTAGAGAATAGGGCAGACACTCACTTATTTTTCAGGAAAGAATTGTGACTAACACAACTAAAGAATATGGTATAACCTAGAGAATTCAGTTAAAATCAGCTCTTCATTCTGACAACTACTAATTTTAGAATATTCTTAAGAGATGTGGAACTTTCTTCTGTGAATGAAATCATCTTACCTACCACCTGTAACATTCAATTTTCCTGAAACGCTGGTGAGCTGATATTATCTCATGAATCTGCTTTAAGTGTTGGGTTTAAAGAACCACCTTTGTTCCAACTCTTCTTAGAGTCAGTCCCCTTTTTAAGAAGTATGCCCATCTTCAAAACATTCTCTCTCTGGCTCAGAGCAGATGTGTGCGGTGTTTACACTGACTAAACCACCAGAATATAAACACCACTCAGATTTTACTGTGTATTTTTATTCATTTCCTGTATTATTTATTTTGGTGTTAAAATAACGTTAACTTTTATAATAAGGACAACAGCAGCAGATGTTTAAACCAAACATACTCTAGATTATCCCAAATATCTACTCAGCTTTCAAAGTTTCTTTCTCCCAAGTAACCAGGCACATCAGAAAACAATTCTCATATATATTGCATACTACACAATAAATCAAGAAAAACAAGCTTTCTATAAGCTCTTTAGCAATATCAGCAGGACATTAAAAAACTAATCAATTTCCTAAGAATCCCTATATTCCTCTCATAAGGTAATCATTACAAGTTTTAAAAATATATTACTAATACCTCAAGTGTTTTTTTTAATTCCTTATTTGCTAAAAAATGTTTGGGTTTGGTTTTTAAAGCTGCATGTGTTTCTTTCACAGGCTTACCTACTATGGCTGTCCGTCGCTACTTCTCTCGTCTGCCCAAATTCTAAGGGAAGGATACTTAAGGCAGTCGATTCAAAGAAAGCAATTCACGTGGATCCTCACAAGTAAAACTGGGAGTTTGAGGTTGTGCGAGGAAACCCGCACCACCTTTTAGAAACTTTAAATCTACTTCGCCAGAGAGTTAAATAAAAACAGGAACACGTCTCGTGGTTTTCCTTGGGAGGGGGCAAGCCAAGTTTTCAACAGATTGAGAAGACAGGCCTGAGAATTTTACATGAAAAATATAAGTGAACCAGATCACCGCCGTCTCAAGTTTCCTCCCTGTGTGCGCTAGGAGAGAACATGGAGACCAGGAAGATGTCCCCTCCATGTTTCGGGCTGCAACCAAGGAGAGCCAAGGTCTCCTAGCGCCAGTCCCGCCTGGCCGTCCCCCTTAGTGAGGGGCCCGGGCAGCTGGAGTAGACCGACGTGGGAGCTCCGCCCGGGGCGCTGGCCCACTCCTTCCACCCCGGAATCGAGCGTGGAGGGCACGGCCTTCAATGTCAGAACTGCCCGAGCTGGACAGGAAATAGCGAGGCGAACAAAGGGCCGGTCTATGCTGGGCCGCGGCTGCCCTCCCGCCCCGTACGCACGACACGAGTGATTCACTGTCTGAACAAAACTCGGGGCCACTCCTGCGAGCGGGGCCCAAAGCGGCGACCGCGGCCAGCACCCCGACTTTCACAAGTCCGCGGAACGAAACCCAAAGGGCAGTGTTTCCGCACCGGCCCTTGCGGCCCTGGCCTCAACCCTAGGGCGCGGACACCCACCTTCGTAGCACAGAATGCCGATGTTGTTGTTCATTTTGTCCAAGTACTGGTAGTTCAGCAGGTCCATCTTCAGAAAAAGCATTTATTGGGCTAACAAAGGAAACCAGCTCTTTGCTTTCGCCCCCAAACGCAGGATTCAAGAAAACGAAAATAAATAATCGCGGACTGCTGAGTAGCTCTCAATTTCACGAAGACCGAGGCCCAGGCGCAGATATCAAAACAAAGTCCGTCAAAGTGGAAAGCGCGCACACACACGCACACAAAACCTAACTCACTCAACCCTTCTCGGGTTTCTTAGTAACCGTATACGTATTGTACCCTCGACAGTGCAGGGAAAAGGACTTTCAGAACTCTTTGCAAGTTTTGCTTCGCAGTAAAAAAAGAGCAGAGGAAGCAAACACGCAGCCCATCTCCTAAGACAAAGCTCTGACGGCGTCCCTTACAGCCCGCTGAAAGTCCGCCGCGCCAACATGCTGCACTGCGAGGTATGGCCGCCAGGGCCCGGCCAAGGCCCCGGCGCGCAGGCGCATTTGGCCTGGCTCATCAGGGCGCTCACCCCACGGAGCGCAGCGGACCCGGGTGTGAGGGGGAAGACAGAGGAGGAGACACCGATCAGGGCGCTCAGCCCAAGAGCCGCGGACCGGGGTGTGAGGGGAAGACAGGAGGCGTCGCATACCAGTTTAAAAAAAAGCCATCACGGAAGTTATACATCCTGTGGCACTGAATTTAACGTTTGTGTAAATGTCATTCGCGGGAATGTGTATAAATATATATGTATATACTTTTTTTAAAAACTTGTTTTATTACCTCTAGTTACGTTTTAACTGCATGCTTATTTAAATTTTTATATAACTTCTTTTCTAATCTCGCAACAGTTCAAAAGAATGAAGCACGGAAATTGAAAAGGAAATGGAGATGCCAAGGGACTGGATGAATGTTTTTCTTTATAGTAACTTTCTATAAATCAAACGAAAGCCCAGTGAAAAAGTAAAACAATTATTGGGTACTATTAAAAATCCAGGCTGGTCCGATGGTAGTGGGTTATCAGAAACTATTAACATCAGTGCAACTAAAGTTGGTATACAACCCCCCACTGCTAAATTTGACTGGCTTAAAAAAAAAAATCCAGTACATCAGCAGAGAACTCTCAGAAGTCCAGGCGGGGTTTAGAAGGGGTCATGGTACTAGGGATATTGTAGCTGATGTTAGATGGATTTTAGCTGAAAGCAGAGAATACCAGAAGAATGTCAATCTGTGTTTCATTGATTATGCAAAGGCATTTGACTGTGTGGATCATAACAAACTGTGGCTGACTCTGAGAAGAATGAGAATCCCAGAACATTTAGATGA